TGCCCCCTTCTTTCTGTGCCAAAGAGTGTGACTGGAAGCAGAGTGGGGCTGCTGGGGTCGGGGAGGGATGGTCAGTGGGCAAGGAGAGGCCCAGAGAAGAGAGGCCGGGAGAAACAGAAAGTGCTGCTGGGACTTGGAGGGCAGCGCCCTGCCTCCCTGGAGACGCTGCGACACCCCTCCCTCCGTCCCAGGGCACTGACAAGGACACGGATGCTGCCGTCTATGGGATGAGATTTTGAGAGCTGTCAGCTGCTGCCAAACACGAACTTGGGAGAAGTAGCGATCTGGAGCTGAGCGGCCGGTTGCCATGGAAACGCAGAACCAAGTGGGAGGGATGAAAGAGGCTTCAGGGGCGGGGTTTCCAGCTGACAGAACAGGAAGGTGGAAGGTGCTAGGGCCTTCTTGACACTCTGTGTGAGTGTGTGCGTGTGCGTGTGTATTGTGTGTGCGTGTGTATGTATGTATGTGTGTACACCCATGTGTGCATGTGTGTGTGTGCACGCATGTGTGGTGTGTGTGAGCCTCACCAGACCCTCAGGCTGAATCTCAAAGACCCCAGCAGAGCGGATCCCACTCAGGAAGCTGAATTCTATACATGGAAAGAGAACTCTATAAACAGAAGGATGTCTTTTTTTTTCAAAGACAGTCCACACACTAGAGCAATGCAAAGGTAACAACGAAACCAGATATTCTGTGGCAAGCCACGGTGGAGGTTAGGACTGATGCGAGAGTTATTGGGGTAAACACCGCAGCTTGGAGCCCGCCAGCGAGTGGTGAAGGATTAAAGCCTCTAGGGATTGAATTCCAGCCCAGCGACGTTTGGGGACCCCGGAGCCACACGAGTCACGGAGAACCCCTGGACTCTCTCCCTACTATCTTAGCGAAAGGAGGGCTGACTGGTAATGCTGTAGGCATTTACCTCAAGGATTTAATGAAAGAATGGTCATGTCAACCCAGAGCAAGAAGAGACAGGGAACAGCAGAAAAGAAACTGACCTCGTCAGGAAAAGTGAATTTGTCGGAGGCGTTGGTGTCCTGCTGTGTGTGCGCCTCACACTGCTGGAAACAGATGTGGGCGTCCGGTGGGCTGGGCTGTGTTAGGAAGAACGGGCTCCAGGTGACAGCAACAGCTGGGAGAAAACTTCTCCCACCGCTGCCACTCACACCCTGCTCACGTGTGGGCTTCAGCGTGTCCCTCCACAAAACCTGCCCGCACCTTGCGGAGGGCAAACCAGGCCCCCACATCCAGTCAGCCCAGGGGAAAGTGCGAAGTCTGTCAGTGGAAGAAACACGCTCAGGATGACTTGGCCTCAGGAGTCGGGGGAGCGGGCTCACACAGGGCTTACTGGGAAATTGCTTTCATTTCCTGGGGCTCCAGATGGGCAGAGATCAGAACTCCACTCTCTGATCTCCTTAAGCGTTTTCTCTGTGAGCCGCAAGGAAGGGCTGTCCCAGGACCCGAGAAGCCGCTGCATACAGATGCGTCGCTCTGGCTTAGCCTAGGCGGGCACCGCCCTTGGTGTAGAGGGAGGGAGCTATGGGGTCCCTCGGGCTCAGATGCATGCATGGGGCTTGAGTAGCATTTTAAATGTGCTTCTTATAACAGCCACAGTGCAGAAAGAAGAAAGTGGTTTATGTATATGATGCAGCAGTTCCAGAGACACTTGTCAGGTGGAGAGGACACACCCCAGCAGGAGGCCAGTCAGCGTCCAGCCTGGTCTACCCCGTGTGGCAATGCAGGCACAGCAGTTTGCAAACACCTGGAGTCTCAGGTTCCTCTTCCAGAATGCAAAACACCTTGTGCTAAGGAACTTGCTTTTGATAATTTACCATACTGCCCTGACCAGTGCATGCCTTGACAGGTGCAAATGGCATAGGCAGATGGACGGATAGAGCTAGATACGTAAGACTGATAGACAGCTAGATAGATAGCTAGATAGCTAGCTAGATAGATAGCTAGATAGCTAGCTAGCTAGCTAGATAGATAGGACTGAGGGATACTGTAGGTTTCCCACAGAATTTGGTAAAATAAATATTTCACAAAGATTCTCCTTTAATGAAAAATATTAAATATGTTGAGAAATAGATTAAGCTAAATTTGGCACACCTAATATACAATGGCCAAAGTTGAGGTGTCTTGGTTACTTTTCTCTCATTGCTAGGACAAAATAAGGAAGGAAAGGTTTATTTAGCTCACAGTTTGTGGAGGTTTCAGTCCATACTCAGCTGGCTCCAAGGCAGAGTGGCACATGGCAGAGGGCAACAGTTTGTGGCAGTGGAAGACAGCCAAAGCTCAACAGCAAAAAGGGAGGAGTGGCAGCAAGAAGCCTCTTTCTCTCCCTTCCATTCTGTGCAGGCTTCCCACCCCCAGGCAGGTGTAGCACTCACACCTATAATCCAAGCATTGGACCATGAATCAATCATAAACTTTAGAAGCCTGCCCCATGATTGCATGAGGCTTTGAGGGAACACCCAGACACAAACCATAACATGGGGTCATTTTCAAATAATTAATGTGGCTTTCCTGTGCACTAAAAAACAGAATATTTGAAACACAGGACTGCATAAATTGTATACTAAAAGCCATATCTGACCTATAAATTGATGTCTTGAAAATGAAAAAGAAACCAGTGAGGGAGTCAGCTGATCTTGACGTCTGTGCATTTGCTCAGCTGTGTGCCGAGCGTGCATTCTCATTTGAGCAGCTCCTGCGCAGGCCAGGTGTGGAGTAGAGGAGGAGGTGACAGTAAACCAAGCAGGGAAACATGTAGGCGATGGAGATGCCATGAAGAGCAGTGGAGGAGGTGAGGTGAGAATGCAGTAGCCATGGGGAGAGGGACCGAGGACGCTGTGGTTGTGCAGGTGTGGTAGTTTCCGGCCCCGTCTCTGTGTCTTTCTCGCTGTCCTCAAGGTCACTCACAGAAGCTTCTGCTGGCCCACTGACAGCAGCTGTCCTGAAGGAGCCACATGAGACCCTCATGGGGGCAGCCCTGGAGGTGGCCTCCCTACAGGCAGGTGGGGAGGGTCTCAGAGCTGAGATGTGACCCTGGCTTCAGCACCCACGCCCTTGCTGAGGGCACACCCTGCCCTGATTTCCTCTCTTCCCATTCACAGTGGCTTCAACAATACTCTAAGTGAGCAATTTACAAGCTCAGTGCAATCTCCACCAGAATTCTGGTGGAATTACTCACAGAAATAGAAAAAATACTCCTGATATTCAAATGCAAGCACAAGAGACGGCAATAGCCAAAGCAACCTTGAGGAAGAAGAAAGCTGGAGATGTCACTGTACCTCCGGCCTCAGGACAGTGCTGACAATGCTATGGTAACAAAATGACACCATGTTGGCGTAGAAACTGCTGTAAAGACCAGCAGAGCAGATGGGTGAGAAGGAAAAGGGGTCTATATGTGCCACGGGGTATGATCCAGCCATAAAAGGATGAAATCTTGTCAACAGTGGCAATGTGGAATGGAGATCATTAAGCTAAATAATGCAAGTTCTTGCCATACGTGGGAGCTAAAAAGTTGACTTCTTAGCAATAGAAAGCAGAACAGTGGTCACTAGAAGTCAGGAGGGCAGAGCAGAGGGAAGCAGGTAATGGGTACTGAAATACACTCAAGCATCAGGAGACTCTTCCACCCTCCCACGGCAGAGGACGGCTATAGTTCACAACTCAGTGTATTTTGTGAAGTCTTGGGAGAGAGGAATTTGAAGTTCCTTAACATAAACCAATTGCAAATCCTAATGGAGATGGAAATGCTGATTATGTTGGTGTGATTAGTCTACATGGTACACAGGGGCGGTTATCATACCACATCCCATAAGTGTGTACAGTGTTTCTGTCAGTAGAAGTCAACATTTTCAAAAGAGACTTTATGACCTAGGAAATGGTAAACTTTCAAGTATTGTCAACAGAACACAACATGGGAAAGGCAATTATAATAACACAATTAGTGATTTTTCTGAAATACCTGTTTTGTGAGGTTAATGTCAAAACCAGAGTCACTTAGAACTTAGAGCAAGAGAAGAGGGAGAGATCGCTCCCTGTGAAGGTCAGAGATGCTGCGGGACACTGGAAGGTGCTGACGCTTGGAAGGCCAATCCAGGGAACAGAGCCAAGACAGAGGCTGCGGCCACACCAACTGTCCCAGCGCGTGAGATCACCCTGAGCCAGACCGCGTGGTGGAAGGACCGAGCCCCTGCTCCAGAGACTCCTGCGCTGTGGCTGAGCAGCCCGGCTGAGGTGGTGGAGCAGCTGACAGGCGGTGGGGGACAAGACAGGGCAGGACAGGCCTGGCTGCGGGTTGTGAGGGCTGCACCTCACTCACAGGTGCCCAGCAAAGCTCTCAGCCAGGTTCCAATGGTGCCACTTACTGGCTATGACCTCGGTGGTTGTCACCTCTAGTCTTTTTCTCCTGGGGAAATGGAGAGAATCCACTCCCTGCGGGGTGGTGCAGAACCTGCCTGGGACTGGACGCCTGATGACTGTCAGCTATTTTTATGCTTTTATGTTTTACTTTTTTACATTTTAATTGACACAAAATGATTTGTGTATTGGTCACAGACAGTGAGCTACTTCCGTACATGAATGCACTGTATAATCCGGTTATACTGCATATCCCTCGCCTCAGTCATTCCCCATTCTCTGTGGTGAAAACACTGAGCCTCTGCTGTCCTGGTGATTTGTAGACATGGAGTGCAGTCGCCATAGTTGTCACCGTACTGGGCAGGAGGACACCGGGACTGTGGCTTCGGGCTCGTGACCGACTTTGCCCTATCTTCCTCTCCCAGATCACTCAGCCTCAGGTAATTTCATCCCACTTCAGTGGGATGAAATTCCTCAGGGTCGACGTAGGGGGGAGCCTCTGTGGCGTTTGTCCTTCTGTGTCCACGTTATTTCCCGTCACAGCTGTCCTCCAGGCCCTTCCACGCTGCCCCAGTGACAGGGCTTCATTGACGTGACAGCATCCCTGTCTTCTGATGTGCACAGACGCCGTGTTCACTTTCCCATCCACCCCTGGTACACACTCAAGATGAGTCCGTCTCGGGTGTGTTGAGTAGTGTCTCAATAAAACCACCAATCCTCAGGGAAGCGCGAATCAGAACACAGCAGCCTATCACCTCACCTCGTGTAGAACGGCTCGCAAGAGAAGGATGAAAAACAGCAAACACACTGCGGAGGTGGAGAAATGGGGGACGTAGCGGTGATCGCCAGCTCCTCTGCCTCTTCCTCCCCTTTCCCCTTCATTCCTGCTATCTGTAGCAAAGCTGTTTGCCCCTGCTCCTCGCTGCCTTATTAGGTCTCTGCCAGGGGAGCAGCAAAAGCCTGGGGATGATGCTTCGCTTCTTGGAGACACCTCTCCGACAACCAGGTGCGGCTCTTTTTGCAACCCACTCTCTGCTCGTAGGAGCATGCGCACACTGTGCTGAGCGCCCCAATGCACACATGATTATGATAGTATTAGAAGGATAAGCAAGAATCTTTCGTCTGTGAAATGTGCATAATAGGGCCTTCCTCAGAGGCCCATGGTGGGGACCACTTGCACTAACACAAGCAATGTTTCGAATATACGGGAAGGGTTAGGTGTTATTATAAACCATGCTGTTGTTCAGTCCTTCTCAGTGTTATTAATCGTTTCATCTCATAACTGACTAATACTAGCCTCTAAAAACCAAGATTATTAGATGATTTCATTTCCTTAAAAGTTACTACTGTAATCATAGGGGAAATGGCACAGAGATGAAAATGCCCAAGAAGATCATTAAATCCACAGGATGTGGATCGACAGAACAATTATCTTGTCTCTATATGAGCATTTTCCACCCATTATTAAACCATCCCACCCATGTTCAATTTTTCCTGTTCAATAGTCTTCATATCTTGTCAGTCTTTTTGTGTTTTATGTGTCATTGCCTCATATGTCTTTGTCAGTTAAAATAGACAAGTAAATAACACCCACATTTTCATTGTCACCCGTTGAGAAATTCTGTTGAAAACATTTTTCTGAAAGACTGCTCACTTTTAATATTTTCAACACTGGAACACTATGCTTCTTGGAATTAGCAATATTTAGAACCCCACTTGTGATTCAAAATTGAACAATGAACATAAGGCCTGATCTCAAAGCCAGAGCCTTTCATTGGAGAAATGGATTAAAGGTCGCACATGCTTTGGAAACCCATGATATGACCTTTTAATCCACATGGAGAATGATATTATCTATCCAAGTAGAAATCATATTATGGGAAAACAAAGATAAAATACTGATATTTAATCAATTCTACTTTTTTGGGGGAAATTTCTAGCCCAGAAAAACTCAGCACCGTCCTGACGCCTCACAAGCAGGTCCTCCCGATGTAAGAGGGGCTCAGCTCTGCACTACACCACCCACCTCCTCTCAGTGCCGCAGCTGTGCTCAGGAAGGCAGATCCACTGTGAAGAGGTGAGAAGTAAAATGGAAACACTGTTCTGTCACGAAGGTCTGGAGAAGCTCCACAGCTTGCCCGTACCATGGCTCTCTCCAGCTAGAAGCCTGGTCGAGAGCCGGCACATCTGCAGAGCCTGGCTGGCTCCCTCTGTGGAGTGGTGTTACAGAATGACCTGGTGAGGATTTATCTCCTGTCATTGTTTTGTGTTCTTGTAAAAATCATAAATGTTTGTTTTTAAATGAAAACTCACAGAAACACCTTAAGGAAACAAGTCCTCTCATCATAGGAATGGCCTGAATGCCTGCTGTGCTCTTCCTCTCCCTTTCTTAGGGAGTCTGCTCTGTCACCAGGGGACACGGAACTGGGCTCAGGTGACCTTCCCTGGGACTTCCTGAGGCTCATGGGGGCAGACCAAGCAGTCACAGGGTGACCAGGGACCCTGATCCCTCCGCAGGCTGTGCCACAGACTGGCCAGTGTGGACCACTGCGGACAGTGGCAGGACCACACTTTCAGCAGAGGAGCCAGTGCCCCACATGACATCGCCAGCCCAGTGGCACCTGGCCTGGCCACCTGCCTGCCCCCACACTGCTGCATCCATGGTGAAAGCCTCTTCCACATGGAAGCAGCCTCTCCTACATCCTAGCAGGCACACTGTCCAGTGTTCTGCGACCCGAGAAGGACCACACTGTGGTATATTGCTGTCACGCTGATTTTTAAGGACTTACAAATAAGTACAGTTCAGAGTTGACTCTCTTGCTACATACTTTTTCAAGCTGGGCCTTTTATATAAAGTGTTTTCCATGTCATTAACCAATCCTTCTTATCAATCACACAGATCATTGTTACAATGACATTTTCATTGTCATTACAAGGACAATACTCCATGTTATTCTAAAGGTATTTCTTAATGCCAGTGAGGTATAAATCTGAAACTGTCTAAGAACCTGGTAAGAAACATCAGCGCTTTTATACCACTGTTACCCTGCACTTAATTCGTCATTTTCTTACCAGAGAATGAAGCAAGTTTTCAACACAGATCGTGAATCACATCTGATCTACAGCTCACCAAGAAGCCTCGCCATTGCCTGCCGGGGGAAGAGCTAGCGCTTTCGTGCTGACCCGCGAATTCTTGCCTCCCTGCTTCCAAATGCTTCTGTGTTTCTTCCACTTCCTGCTGCAGTTTGTATGTAAAAGCACATTTCTGAAGTCAGGCAGTTTCCTTAGAAATAGTCCATTTCTTGTTCTTTTTGTTTGTTTTCTTCCCCAGGACAGTTGCATGACCTTTTCATTCTCTTTTTTTTTCTGGTTTTAAATACAATTGACTTTTGGAATCTATATACTCACATACTGCAAAGCCCAAGGAAATTTCCACTTTTATATATGTGACTCTGTTTTAGATTCCTCCCTGTCTACCATCTCTCTCAATTCTCCTGTGTATGTGCTTGGGTGTGTGCATTTGTATGTGTGTATCCATGTGTGCATGCACATGTGTCCATGCATGTGCATGTGAGTCTGCGTGTATGTGTGCATGTGTGTGTCCATGCACATATATATGTGTATGAATGTGTGTATCCAGGCATGTGTGTGTGTGTGTGTGTGTGTGTGTGTGTGTGTGTGTGTGTTTGGTGCATAAAACAGAATCATCTCACAGCTTCTGCAGCTCAGTTGAGAGGACTCAGCTGGGTCCTTCTGGTTCTCAGGCTGGCGAGGGCTCCATGCTTTGTACTCTGACAAGGGCAGGAAGACCCAGCTGCAAAGACAACTAGGATTACCAGGTTCCCCACTCATGGTCTACACAGGGCTGCCTGCATGTCTTCGCAGTGGCCAAGGGATCCAAGAGAGATCAGAAGAGATCAGGAGAGATTGCAAGTGTATCAGCCAGGGTTTTACTAGAGAAACAGATATAACACAAGATATACAAATGCATAAGAAATTACAGGATTGGCTATGACAATGAACCACAGACTTGGTTGAGGAAGCGTGCAGAGGGTGTCTGCATACTGCTGACAGAAGGATTCGGTCCAAGGTCTGGAGCTCACTGTAGTTTGCAGTGCAAGCCCGTATCAGGAGGCTGAAGGGTCTGCGATGGAAGCCTGAAAAGTCTACCCTGGAAGGCTGAAGGATCCAAGGCAGAAGCTGAAGAGTAGGCATTAGAAGCCAGGAAACGATGTCTAAGCTAAAGGCAAAGAAAGCCTGAAGCTCATCCAGAGAACAGAAACCCATCTGTCCTTCCTTATTTCCCTTTTATACCATCCAGGCAGTGAGTCAGCCTAGGGTGGGTCCTCTACACTCTAGGGTGTAGAATTGCGGAGCCAACTTAGTTAAACTTCTAAACTTCTCAAGTTGATACACTCAATCAACCACTACAACCCACTTCTTGTCAACTTGACAACCAGGCACAGTTCTTTAAGATACAAAATCTCCAGATACAAAGACATGCTTATAATTACACCTAACATGTTATAACTATTCTGTTTACAAACAGAAATGCACTAATTCCCTCACCAGAATAGATGGTAAGTTCTCTTTGGTTGTTGTTTACTCTTCTCATTTCATAACTTGAGCATTATAACACAGGTTTAACAATTATTAATACCCAGTAGTAAGTCTATTAACATCATATTACAATAAAACCATATTAGAGGAGAAATAGTACAATTACAATCCTCTTTTCTGTAGCTGATCACAGAGTTGTGGCTGGTATTTAGAACTACCTTCTTCCAGTACTCATTCTGTATTCCTGTGACCTTTAGCAAGCACCTCAGCAGCTTTTGTTTCTTTCCTGGGTGGAGTAACTCATACTTTCATTCCTGAAGGCTCTGGGCCAGTTGTCCTTCTGCCTGTATTAGGTTTTTGTAGTTTCCCACTGACTTTGATAATAGGTCATGGTAGTACTAAGACACACCCTAAGGGATCTCCTGCACGCTGTATATATTCTTCCTTTCCTCCATCTTGGAGTAGTAGACCAGCTTCCCCTTGATAGTCTGGGTCAATCACTCCTGACAACACTATGACTCCCTTTCTGACTTGTTTCCTCAGAGGCATGAGGACACCAAAATGACCAGGGGTAAATCTTCATTTCCAGTTTGATGGTATCATTGTTGTGCTTTCTGGCACAAGCCTTCCCCCTCTGCAACTAAGACTTCCAGAAGACTAGCAGAACATAAGGTTGTGGGGACAGGAAGCAAAAAGTTTGCTAGTGAGACACTAGGGGTAATGGTGAGTGGTACCATCCCTACTTCTACCCCTTGATTCCTGGACCCATGAATCCTGGCTATGAGAGAAACAGTACCATAGAGTGGACACTGATTCAAAGCGTATAGAGCCTTTTGAAGTACCTAAACCCAGACCTGCCAGCTATTGTCACCTGGCTGGTATGGTAGCTGTGTCTTCAAAAGGCCTTTCCACCTTTGTATCAACCCAGCTGCTTCTTGGTGGTGAGGAACATCAAAATTTTCTTGTAGTGGGGGCTTGCAAGAGAAACAGTTTAATACAGGACGCACCCCTGTTTTATCCTTGCAGTCCACAACTTCACTGGTGTCTTCCCTCTGACCAAATGCTTCAAATCACCCTGCTGACTCTGCACTTAATTTTAAACATAGATCTGGCCTGAAACTCTCAACAGTAGCTATGCCACCATCCCAACCACAGATTGTATTGAAATTCTTCGGCCACCCAGGCAATATCTCTAAATACAAGCAAAATGCACACCAGCTTCCTGCCAAAACATACATGGGGTCCATCAGCCAATGTATTTCTTCTCAGTGAAGCCTCCTGAGCTTCATCTTAGCCGGCAGCACTTCCACCAGTACTCTGATTTTCCAGGCTCTGTCCTGAGTCTTCCATATTGTTTACAACATATGGGGGATGCCTTCTCAGCCGGTCTCGTAAAAGCTTTTCAAATTAATTCCCAAGGCTCTTAAGCCAGATGGCCAGGCAAAATCATGGCAATGACTCCACTCCTGGTACCCATTTTGTTGTAGTCAGTGTTTGCTAGGAAAAGGAATTAATATAGAACACATAATTTATATGATTATTTTATAATATTCACCCAAAGAGTCAAATGCAAAAGAATGCAGGAGATCCACACACTAGAGACCCAAAGAATCCAGCTGAGGGCCTGGACCCCACGGCAATGTCCTCCAGGAGTCCAGCTGGAGGCCTAGAGCCCACGACAATGTCTCATGCAAGTCTGTATCAAGGATCTGCACTGGGAAGCCCCCAAAGAGAGTAGTGGAAGCTAGAAAGTCTGACACTGCAGAATGGAGGATCTGTGCCAGCGGGCTGAGTGAGCTGCACTGGTGCCAGGAAGCGGTGCTCAAGGTAAGGACTAGAGCTCCTCCCAAAAGGACTGCAGCCATCCTCAGCAACAGTGAGGACCTGAGCCCCTCTGATGATGAGAACAACTGAGTTCGTACCACGAAAACCAGCATAAGAGCTTCTCCACAGCCAACAGCCCCAGGAGAACCAGCAGCTCCCTAACTGCACCTCTTCTTCTCCAGCCCTTTCTATTTCATTGGCAACAGTCCTCAGGTGGGCCCTCCACTCCCAGCACCATGCTGACTCCGTTCAGTTGGGCGTTCCAAGTTGACCATTAGTTCATCTGCCACAGCAAGGGATCCAGGAGAGACGGCATTGAGTGGGAAGCAGCAGTGCCCTTCATGACTTAGATCAGAAATCACAGATCGTCACTCTGCCATTTTGTTTTTGATTAAAACTGAGCCCACAGACTGGGTAAGGGGATGCAGGGAGGAGCAACAGTGAATTTGCAGGTAGATACTGAAACTGTTATGGTCAGAAAGCCAACCAAATTTGGTCAACCAGAAAGGTGAAAACTGGTATCCACTGTGGTTTTAATGAGCATATGCTTATGTGGAATAACTATTTATATTTTATTTCTGTAAACTTTGTGTCAGTGACCTGTACTGAGTTTTCTCCTGGTGTTTTGGTCATTATGAATATGTATTGTTGGGAGTGGTTGAAGCTGGAAAGTAATTACTCGTGCAGGAAGAAGCCAGCCCTGGAACACGGGAGCTCCTTGAGCCACATAAACAAGCTGTTCCAGCTTGTAAGCTAGTTGCTAGGCCGAGAGGTTGAAATTGGCATCACCCTCCCCAGTGTATAAATAAACCCTCTATAGTTCTTGGGCAGTTCTTCCCCTTCTCACTCAGGAGAGAGAGGACCTCCGCCTGATCCCAGACTTTTGTCTCTTGTCTAGTTTTTCCTCATTCTCGCTGTTGTTCCTTCACAGGGTACAAGAAGAACCCAAGGGATCCGTACAATGCATGGCAGATATTTCTTTAGATGAACTTTGTTTATCCTTTGAAGTTTTAGCCTAACAGGAACTTTGAGAATGTGGGACAAAGAGTTTCAGTATTTCCCTCCTGTTCTGTACATATCCCTTGGGCAGGACCGTGGTTACAGCAGCTGACTGAGCCCGTGTGTGATGCTCCGCTAAGGCTCAGTCATTGTCCTGATTTCCCTGACTTTGCTTAGTGTCATCTTCTGTGTTGTGATTCTATTGTGCATCCTCAGCACACCTCCTGTCTCCTTGGTTCCTGGGCTGTGACAATTTCTCTTACTTCCTCTCGTTTTGAATGACCTTGACCGTCTTGAGGAGCAGTGGGCAGGTACGCTGAATCGTGCCTCTGCTGGGGCTTGTCTGGGGTCAGTGTCACAGCACAGCACCCTTAGAGAGGAGCCCGAAAGGCCAAGCCCGCTGTCAGCGGGGCACAGGGAGGCGCGATGTCACCACACTGCTGCCGTGGCCTCCACCTCCAGAACCCCCGCTCTTCGTGGGAAGGTCCCCGCCGAGGGAGCCCCTCTCCCAATCACCACACAGCCAAGCAGGGGCAGGGTCTGCATGTGTGACCTGCAGCCTTCCTCAGGGGACAGAAGTCGCTTCTCCCTTGCCTATTATTCACTCATTCCTAGAAGTTTTATTTTTATTGCTACATCTTTGTAGTCCCTAATGTTTACCTTCACCACAGGCAGCTGGCTCAGGTACGGAACACATCTTCATTCTGTTTACGTCACCGCCCCCTCCCTCCATCTCTGGGTCCCCCTCCCACTTGCGAAAGCCTGTCTCCCTGTGTCCTATGATCTGTCTTCTCTTTTGCTCTTTGCTTTTTTTACACTTTGGGATTCTCGTAGGAGAAACCATGGGGATAGTTAAGCTTGTGTGTCTGATTTATTTCACT